TATATATATATATATATATATATATATATATATGAGTAGCAATATTTTATGATAAATATTAGCATTTAGCATTGTATTTATTTATATAATATAGATACATTCATACACTCATATATAAAGCTTGTATTAATTCAATCCTTGAAATGACCGGTTTTACCCATTTTGTTTAAATAAACTAAATTAACCTAAACTAAAAAATTTAAATTCTTTGTCAAAGTAGGAGACGCCAAATATTTATAATGTACAAAAGTATAAAAATTTGTTTTAGCAAGTATAATACACATAGATAAAGCTATATATAAATATGGCTATTGCCTTCTAAAAACATCATCTTTTGGAAAACCAAATTGATTCAATGCGAATATATATTGTTAATATTTAGACTATATTTTATTTTCCATTATAACTTCACTACACAATAGCTGCTTATCATTGAATTTTCAGATCTCTAAATTAACACGGTACTAGTAAATTGTTAAAAGACTTATATCTTTAGTCAAACATAATAAATTTTGGATTTAAGTTATTAAACATTTAAATATTAACGAATTTGTATTTTAACTTTTTGCTTCACTCTACGCCGAAGATCGTCTTCAAAATATTTTAAAAAAATATTAGGCTTGGCATACCTATGATGTATCCTGTTATTTATATATTTTGGGGATTAACAGATTTAGCATGACCCATACAATCTTTACTGAACAAATATATGTTACTGGTCACGGTAAGTCTATTCCACACTTATCATTTTAATAATTTCGCTTTATTTCAACAGAGCAAAATATAAAATACTTTGTATTGAGTTAACGATTATCTTTCAATACTTTTCAACTTATGTAAAATTTAAAAAAAAAATTCGGGCCGGACTTATTTATTTTTTTCTTTAATAAGTTTCTATTTAATTTTATTAAAATTTTTTTTAATAATTATTTATAAATTTCTCTTTGTGGAATATTAGATGAATTTTGAAGAATATATCTAAAAACAAGTTATCTGTGTAGAATATCTAGTTATACTACCAAATGGACTAAAATACTGGTTTTCAACACAATAGTTACACCGCACAATCTGTACTGTGCCTCTCCTTATTTAGGATCAAATGAAGAAAGTCATCAAATCCTTCAGCTGCTGAAAAACAATGCAATGAGATCTATCCTCAAATGTATTTGGTTTACATATAGTTTTGATATGCTTAATGAATTGAATTGGCTACCAATCAAATAAACTAAAAGTTCTAATGTTTACACATAATATTATCATGTCAAAAAATATGTCTGTACTAAAAAATACAAGGGTTAAAAATGCGGATATACATCGTCATTACACCAAAATATCTAAGGAAGATAAGATATCTAAGTATCATATCCCTCAACACAAAAATGATAATCGAAAAAAAAAAAATTTCAGTATTCTGCAGAGGAATTAAATTGCATAATAGTTTGCCACCCTTGATGATGAATTTTGACCATAGGAAATTCGGAATAAAGTCGTAAACTATGTGGGAAAAAAGTGAAGCAGTTTAGTATCAACATAAATAATTAAACAATATTTTTATGATACTTATTTTAAATTTATTTAAAACAATATGTACCTTTAAATTAAATATTTAGTATTAACATAAACAATTAATTTTATTAAATTAATTATACATTTATTTTTAAACTACTAAATTTTAAATTGGCATCAAAAATGTTGATTTTAATTTATTAAAAAGGTATATATTATTTTAATGAAGGGTAAATACTGCCCTACTTACAAAATAGACAGTAAGTGATAAATTGAAAAATTACTTGGGACCGGAACTTACTTCATTAACATATCGCGACGTTAGAATTATCTTGTTCTATCTCTACTTTCTGAAAAAATTGAGTTAATTATAGTGTTGTGTTCCTCAAAATAATGTCTTTCTACTGAATTGAAACCTAAGTTATAAGTAAAAAAGTTGCGGAAAAAATATAAGTTATAAAAGAAAATTTATACGCCGTCTCCTAAAGTTTTTTTTTTTAAATCGTTTTATCTCAAAACTAAAAAATGTGGAGATAGAACAAGATAATTCTAACGTCGCGATATATTCTATCATGGTACAAAGCAAAAAGACCGTATTTGTTTTCTTTCTTACCTAAAACATACTATCAAATTAATTAATAATTTTAGTACATAGCAAAATGACTGTATGTTCTTAATTATGAAAACTAAGTAAAAAATTCGAAAATCATTAAAACCTCAGAAAAGCTCTTATTTGAAGTCAATTGGTGACAGCTAAAAATTAAAATTAAAATTTTAACTTTTAGCTGTCAAAATGTTGCTGTTTTCATCTTCCCGAAGTATTGTGTCTAAATCGTTACAATGCTTGAGCAGGTCCTCTTTCGGAAAAAATTTCAAAAATCGATATCCTAAATAAAACCAAAACGGTCAAAATATTTATTAGGCGTTTTGAATCGACATCCAGTGTCGACTATGACTGCGTCTATCACTGTGTTGAAAAAATTTACTTAGTACTGCGTTTGAGCAGATTGTATAGGTTCATCCATGTCTTTATAACCGTTTTTTTGGTGCTATTCTTTTTTCTTTAAATTATGACACAATTTCAAAAGCGTATTTCCCTCAAACAATCGATCATCTGCAATGCTTTTCTCAAATCCATCATCACAGAATTTTTTGAATCCAAGTCAAAATATCAACTGCAACCTTTAAGTTTATTGTAATCAATTGCCATTGTTTACTTATACTTTTTATACTTATATGTAATATAATCTCATACCACACGTGTATAGCAACAATAAATTCAAAAGTTATCATTTTGTTCAAAACTGCTTTACAGTTGCTTAGAATTTTCGAGTCGTCCGTTTTATTTTTCAAGTCATTCACACATTCGATAACTTTATTAAATTGCAACAAAATATCGTTTTACTGCTCCTATTTACTCTCCTACTGTGTCTCTGAAAGAGGTTTTAGTGTTAGTTTCAATTTAGTTTTTGTAAGTTCCCAACGCTTGCTAGACTTCGAAACGCGTACATAGGACTTATTAATAATGCCGAAAAATATTTTTGCTATTGTAGAAGAATTAGCTGCATTTATTAAAAGTAAATTCCAGCTATAGCATTCGCACGGTGTGAAGAATGCTCTTGGATTTATGTTGAGTGTTCTTGTTGTGACACCATCAATAATGATTACCATATTGGCGCCATTATCATATCTCTGTCCTCGACAATTTTGTAAATCCAGACCATTTTTCTCTAGTTTTTGCAATATGAAGTTTGCTAAATACTCTCCTGCAGTTTTCGTAATGGCAATAAAATTAGCAAAATGTTCCTCTATCGCTTCCGTTGAGGAATTGCAAAATCCTAATATTATTGACATTTGT